AATAGACAAAAAAAATACGGTACCCCGGGCCGCAGCCTTGATCTGAGTAGCACTCCCATCTTTGTGCGTAGGCTCTAGGGTGTAGAGCCAATGTCAAGCTTTAGAGCAACCCTCAACCAACAGGAGTTCAGGGTTCATAAGGTTTAGGTTTTTGTCGGGGCTTGGGGTTCCTATGGTTCAGAGTTCAGGGTTCAGGGCTGAACCTTCAAAACCGAAACCCTTGCGGATTTAGGGTGTTGGGTTTAGGGTTGCGGAAGGAGGAACATGCAGAACAGGTTCCGCAAGAAGCTTGAAGCCATATTAGACTGGGGGATCCCACTTCGGGGTATGGGAAGATGTTGGGTTCGGGACCTCAGCTTCAGGACATGGGTTTAGGGTTTAGGGTCTAGGGATTTAGGGGCTTGGGGTATAGGGGTGTGGGCAGTCGTGCTGGGAAAAGGGCGACTACACTCTCCTTTTCAGGGCATGCAGGAGGGCTTGGTCGTTGAAGTCGATCATGCCAAGACACATTCTGAAAGAAACAAACACGCCCAGACTGGCCGGGATGGAACCGAGCTTTCGACTCTCATTTTGGACAGATGTACACGAACATCAATAGAACTACACACCGCATCTTCGTGCCATGACTATGATAATTTCTAGACATCATCGTATTCTATCCGCTGTTACTACTATATTGGGGCATTGGGGAAGCTTGCGGCGTGAAGCTGCATTGAGACACCAACGTAAATTGAAGCAATGCCGAACGGTGAGGCAAAAGAGGCGATCGAAATGAATCCCGTAATTGCAGGCCAGCGATCAAAATCATCATTCCGTAAATCCTGGAAATCCCCTACCCTAGCGCTCAAAACTAAGCCTTTAAACCCTAAAGCCTAACCCCTAAACCCCCAAACCGCTGCCAAGTGTCCCGGCGCTGATCTGTTCGCCAGAGTTGCAGGAGGCTCGCCAAAGAGTCCTTGCTTCAATTGCTGGGCGTAGCTATTGATTTCTGCAAGCCTCACAACCAAAAACCTATCCACCCTGAATGCCACAGTTCCTGTCCTAAATCCTACACCCTAAAGCCGAGGTTTCCCGGATGTGGAGAGAAAAAGGGACCTTCGGCGTACGGGACGTGATGGGGGCCCTGCAGCCCTGGCGAGACTCCCTCAATGGGCTTCGTAGTTTTTTTCAGTCCCAGTTTCAGTGCCATCGGAATATTTTATGTTACATAATATATACTATATTTTTTTATATTTTTTTTATTAATAGTATAATATGTATTATACAATGGCTAGGGTCTGGGGTTTAGGGTTTAGGCCGCTGATCTTCACCTTGTAGGATGAAGGGAAGTACTGTCGGGTAAGTACTGTCGACATAGCGTCTGACAACACGCACCGACTATGAATGGGTCACACCGACAAGCTAGGAGCAAACACGCTATGCCTAACTTTGTAGAGTGCCGAGACAGCCCTGATTTTCAAAACCCGCAAAGCACAGAAACATGCCCTCAGTCCACAAGCGGCCGGTAGTAAAGCGGATGCCGGCCGATCTCCACAACTCCCGAGAAGATTTAGAACAAAACCGTGGCAGAATGTGTCGAAGCCGCGTAAACGGGCCCCCAAAACTACAAGTTCAGTTCAGGATCCTACCCGAAACGTTATAAACCCTATAAGCCCTAAACCCTAAACCGCCAGAAGCCCTGACGCCCGCTGGCTGCCAAGGAACATCCTCTAAGCGCAGCTCTCCTCGCAGCTGCCTACAGCTCTTCCTGGAAGCAAAAGGAAGCCAAGCTCTTGGGCTTAGGGTTTCTAAGGGTTACAGGGTTATAGGGTTTATAGGGCCTAAGGTTATAGGTTTTAGGGTTATAGGGCCTAGGCTTATAGGGTTTAGGGTTGTAGGGTTTAGGGTTATAGGGCCTAGGGTTATAGGGTTAAGGGTTATAGGGTTTAGGGTTGAGGGCATCAGGTTTAGGGTAAAAGCTTTCGAGTTTTGGGTATAGGGCCACGGGCCCTGACCCAGGCTTTTTGGGGCGTCAGTGTCCTTAGGGTTGACTTGTTTTGGCCCGTGTAGTTACAGGAAGGCCCCTTCCGAGTGCTCAGAAGGCCGGCAAAGGACATCGAAGATGCGGTGATGTTCAGTAGGGTTTAGGGCTTAAGGGTTTTTAGGGCTGTCAGGGTTTAGGGTTGGTCCCCTTTTAAGGTCTTTTTAAGAAGGGTCCCGTACTTTTTGGGGAACCTCCTAAAAAGGGACCCTAATTTACAGACTTACCCAGGTACGGGCCTTAATGATCAGAATAAGGCCTTGGGGCAAGCGATGGTGTCATTACAACACGGAACCTAAAGGAAGAACGACAGTGTTCATTCCCACCCTTCCATAAGCGGACATGCGGCGAGGCTGGGGTCAGTAGCTGCAGGGCCCAAAGAAAGATCTCGCAATGGGATCTGTTAGCTGATGCAGAAGGCCATGACAAGTGGACAAGGCTTCTGGAGCTTGGGGTACATGTTTCTCCAGTTGCATCGGGAATATCTGGGATACTGCTGCAGCTAGTTGTTATTATCGCCTTGGAACACCATGCCTTAAATGAGGAATCCTGAAGTCTGAACTGACTCAATAATAAAACTTGATCCCTTGCACCCCAAACCTTAGGGTAGCACGAACAAGAGTCCAGCGAAGTTTGGCATGCCAGGCACCCACGCTCGGAGTCGGAAAGACTATCTTCAAGTATCTTCAAGTTTCTGGATGTCTGCTCAGGAACTGAGTTACTTGCCATGAGTTAGTGGCCTTGAGAATGGAAGCATATGACTTATGACTCGCCATATATCCCCAGTGTGTTAGCTGATTAAAGGTTTTGTGGACAAGAGCCCAGGGTTTGAGTACCAGAAAGGACACTTGAAGGTGAAGCAACAGTTCAACACGGGGACCGCTCGGGCTTGCGATGCATTCAACATTTTCGGCCAGATCATGCTGCAGCCGTTGGACACAGGTGCTGGGCAAAACCACTGTGATTTCGCATGCTCCATGCCACAGGAGTCTCGTGTCCAGCATCCTTAACATCGAACATTAACCCGAAACCGCAGACCCTGAAGTCCTCACCAACTCTGACCCCAAACCCTAAAGCCCTAAAAACCCTCAAGCCCAAAACCCCGGACCCTGAAAAGACTTCCTTCGCTGCCCAAGCACCGGCCCACTCCGAGGTCGGCCAGAGCCGAGTCCAAGGAGATCTGGGCAGGGTAAAGCTGTTGAGAGCTTCTTGGGGGCTACAATAAAAAAGGGGCCCCGATAAGGTCTGTGTCGGGTTTAGGGTTTTGGGGTTACAATACAAGGCCCCCATAAGGGCTCTCTATAGGCTTTAGGCCCTCTACAAGCTATCGGAGGGCTCCAACAGGCCCAAACCCAGGAGCCGAGGGTTCTCTCTTTCTTTCATCAGGGCTAGGGATGAAGGAGGCAAGCAGAACCCTCGCTCTCTCTCTCTCTCTCTCTCTCTCTCTTGAGTGACGAACTGGGATTGGCCTTGCAACTCGCCTTTCCTCGGCCTTCGTCCGAAAAGCTTGCGACCACACTTGGGTAGTTCTCTAAATTGGGGTCCCTCCTAGGGTCCTTTTTTTTTATAGGGGTGCCCGTACTATTTTGGGGACCTAAAAGCGACCCTGGTTTAGCACTTCGGGGTTCAGCTTCTGGTGCCTTTTGCGCGCCTTAGGAGCCCACAAGTTGGCCGACGCAAAACGATCCTCAATTCCGGCAGAAAACCCGGAAACCTCGCAACCCTGAGCCAAAAAACCCAAACCCTGAACCCTTAAACCCTTCACCCCCAAAACCCTCTAAACCCCAAACCCTGAACCCTTAAACCCTTCAGCCCCCCAAAACCCCTGGAAAAACCACGAAAATACATGGAAGCGAGGCCTCCAGGTCCGAGGAGCGAGCAATCTCTGCGGCGACCTCACCTCGCAGGGAGGGTAGATTGGTGCATAGTCTTTTCCATACCTGATAGAGTAAATAATATCATCCAGGAATCATCCATGATATATCATATTATGTGCTTCCCTTGGCTTGACTCTTTACCGCTTTGGGGGGATCCGGGATGTCCAGCTTCAAAGGCCTGGCAGGCATCAAGCCTCGTCCTCACAGCTCTCTTAGCGCTCGAATCCACAATTCACAAGCCATATCCCTTAATATCCCCCATGTTTGTGTTGAAGGCCCTTTTCCAACTGCAGAACAGAAGAAATCCCGAGTTCGGGGGAGCCTGAATTTGGTGCCTCAGATGATGCACACCTTTTGTTTAGGGTTTATAATCTTTGCATGACCCACAAAACCAGAAAGCGCCCAAGCTGACTGAGCTCTTGGTGACCCGGCATGGTCTTGGCGGCGGTGGCGCCCCCGCCGCAAGCGGCGCCCGGGATCGGCGGGTGCGATTTGGCATGGAAGGACGCAGAAGATTGGCGGGGATCAGAGTTTAGGTTGAGGGTTTTAGAGCTTCGGGTTTAGGGTTTTGCGGTTTAGGGCTTTAGGGTAGATTTCGGATCGGGGTTCCAAGAATTCCTCTGGAGCGTCTCAGGGATTTTGTGGATGGTGATGGGGTTTGGCTCGAGCCGTATGCAGATTTAATGGCTGAGGGTATAGGTCGCACCATTGTGCAGGGTGCGAGAGTATCAATGGAGATACTTGAGTTCATGAGGGTTTTCGGGCTCTTACGGTTTAAAGACTATGGAGCCAGTGGCAGCAAGAGTTCACGGCAATGTACTGTGGAGGCTTGAGTTGTTCTTGGATCTGCAGCTTCCGAACCACGGCTGGAGTTGTCAAAGTACTACATGGACACAGCTCCGGCAGAGGCCCTCTGCGGCTTCGGATGCTACACCTTGCTGTCGGTGCATAACGCCGAGTGTGACGTTGCTGTAGCATCCGATCCCGGTCCGATCCACAAAGACCCAAGACCAACACCAACTCCTTCATTTGCATTACTAGTAACCTTTATGTAATTACAACGGTAGCTCCGTTGTGACACCCACGCCGGCACTCGAAGAAAACCAGGCAAGCAAGCTGCAGCACTGGTCCAGCACAGCGCAGTGCCCTGCTTTTCCCGCAGCAGGCCCGAAGCGCTCAGGAACGGCCAGCCACGAGCGCGCCGAGGCCTCCCAGCCCAGTCGGAGCAGGCGTCCACAGCATCCGAGAAGTGTAACATGTGTCAGCAGTGGTAGCCTTCAAGCCATTTCAGCCCAAGCCTTATGAACTGCGTCGGAGATTCTTACGTGGGATTGCCCTGCCACCTACGCTGTCGGAGCTGGGATCAAGTGTTTTAAACCAGCGGCACACCGTTCAGCTTGCTACAGGACCACAGGAGTGCTGTTGGTGATGCCTCTTTCCCCCTGAAGATGCCGTGTCAGCGCTGACTTCGAGGATTCAGGAATGGAAGGACTGTATCCAGCCTACAGTTTCTGGTGCCAGATCGAATCGCTCAGAAACTCTCATCAAAGAAGTGGTGAGGTACAAACAACTCCGATGGAAACACCTCTCAGATACTCAACCCCTGTCAATTCTCGACCCTATCATCGGCGCCCTAGGCTTCTGATGGAAGACTTGAGTTCCTGCCAGGGGACTGCGAAGTCTGTCAGAGAAGGCATAGAAGCACAGATTACTCAGGGCCCGGCATACCTGCTCTCACTGCTGCCCAGCCCATACGCTGGGAAGCGATGCCAGGCTGAGGGCACGCTGTGCGTTGAGGAGCGTTGCAGGTTTCACGATATTAGACTTTGAGAGTACTGTCCGTCCAGAGTCCTCCAATATGTAGTACTTCATAGATCCTGAGCCCCGCTTCGGACACCACACCACGGGGTCGGTGCAAGACACCGGGCTCCAAGAAAGGCTAGGCAAGTGCGTACGTTCGGACGCCAGGACTGGTCCAGCGACGTCTGCTTTTTCGGCGGCAAATCCGCAGCACTCAAGGAAAAAGGCCACCACCACCTCGCCGAGGCCGAGGCCTCCCAGCGGGAGAGTCGAAGGTCCCCGAAGGCTCCCCCAAACCACCCCGACGTGGACGGGAACCGAGAGCCGGGCCTCGGATCAAAGGTAAACAGCTGGGCGCCGTGGCCTCCCAGGCAGTCGGAGCCCCGAACTCCCCAAAGGCCTGCCACCCGACATCGACCGCACTCCGGGCCACCTCGGATCACAGGCGGATCCTCTTCTCGGCCACCGGCAGTGCATGGAAGGCGGCTCGGAGCTTCTTCTGCTCCTTCTCGCCTGGTGGGGTGTGGCTTTGTCTGGAAAAAGGCCCACGGCCGCTTCGTCTCCAGCCCCCGAGGCCCTGGCTGAGCTTGTTGTTTTCCAGATCAACCGTGAGTTTGGTGAGCTGCGGCAACTGCCGCACGCTCTCCACCACTGCAGTAGCGCCTGCATCACCTCGGCCGGGAGCCGCCACTTTCGGCGTCGAATCTGCGGTTAGAGAGGGAGCGGACTTCGGCGTGGGGATGGGCTGCACTGAGAACAGGGGATCCAAGGCTTTAGGATCGCCTGACCGCGCTGGGCAGGCCGCCGCGTGAATCCAAGACTCCGAAGCACATCACGGAAGTCGAGGCCGTTCGGGTCCAGGCTGGGATGAGCTCGGGGCTTGGAACTCTTCATTGTGGACTGTGTGCACTGGATGCAGTTTACAGTAGCAAGCTAGAAGGCAAGCCCACATCGTCTCCACGGCTATCTGCAAATCCGAAGAAGCTGATACCAGAACGGAGATGGATACAATGGATGGGGTCGGCTTGCACGCCCGGTCCCAGCCCCAAGCGGGAGGCGGCCGGCGGCCGCTAACAAGCTACAGTACTGAAATCAAAAAACGGCGCCCGAGGAGAGCGGAGCTGAGGCCCCCGGCCCAGGGAGGTGCGGTACAGATCCAACACCAGCCGCTGCAGCTCCTTTTGCTGCTGGAGGCCAGGGGCCAGGGCCCGGGCCTGGTCATCGCCTGCTTCTCAGGCGAAAAGGAGGAGCTCTCTCTCTGCTTCTTCCCGGCTCCACCCGCCCGCGCTCTCCGCAAAGACAGCTGCTCCGGGGCCGGGGCCGAAGGCGTCGCCGAGGTCGCCGAGCCCGAGCAGCAGCTCTCGGAGCTGTGGGAGGAGCTGCGCTTGCAGGGCTCGGCACAGCGGCTCGAAGAGGCGCCGGAACCACCGCTCGTCGCTGCCTCCGTCGAGCAGAACGCGCACTGGGCCTGGCCGAGCCTGGGCGCCGGGAGCCGAGGCCGCGGCCGTAGAGATTGAGGCGGGAGCCGAGGGCGAGCCCGACACCGTGCCGGGAGCCGAGGCCGGGGCCGGTGAGATCGAGCTCGAGCCTCCGCTCCTCCTCGAGCTCTTTGAACTCGTCGTCCTGCGCGCGGCGGGCGGCGCCGGGCGGCCCCCCAACCCCCCCCGGCCGGGCGGCCGGGCGGCCCGCCCAGTGTCCGAAGAGCTGTCCCAGCCGTTGTTGGACACAGGGAAACGAGCGGTTATGCCGAGCAAGGGCGGGTCTCGGGCGGGTCGTAGAGGGCTTCCCGGCTTACGGGGTGATTGCAGCACTCAAGCCGGCCGGGGGCCCCGAAAAGATGAAGAACACTTGCCACCACTCCCAAAGAGAGCGCGAGCCTCCAACTTGACCAAAAACTCCACGACCGGGTGGGCGACATGGCCTCGCACCTGAACGCAAACAGGGAAGTAAACAAAATGCGAGGGATTTGGGCACAGAACACAAACAACGCCGGGATCTCTCCTCTGCATCGCCGCGCAGGCCCTGCCTCGGCCCTGGCCAGCGCGACGGCACCCTTTCCGATGTCGCAGTCCCCCAGATCCAGCTGGGTCGCTGCGGGGCGGGTGGCTCGGAGGGCCTGCAGGGTTCCCGAGAGCATCTGCCCGGTGGCCCAACCAGTCTGGCTGAGATTCGGTTAGATGTACAGTTTACAGGATCAAGAGAACAAAAGAAGCCCAGAAGCCTGAATACCCCGACACTCTACCGCAAGCAGAGGTTTGGCAGTCCGGCCGAGAACAGAAGCTGTGGCGGCCGGCCTCCAGCAAGGAAAGGGCGCCCTCCTCGCCTTGAGCAAAGCTTGCTCTTCCCTCTGAAACAATAGTTTAATGTTCGTATATGCAGAACTGTAACTATAACTATAGATACGTGCGCAGGATAATATGTTCGTGTGAACAAACGGGCAAGAGGACTCGAAGCGCAGAATGTTTTGACGAGGGCCCCATGCACAGGCCACCTGAGGAATGTCATTGTCGACAGCGTCGCCACACTACCGAGACTCCCCCCTCTTTACAACAACAACAACAGATGTGGGAGTTCGCCTGCGACGTGCAACAGGTCACGGGAGCCGTGCATTGGGCGCAAGCCCATGTAAACCAGCAACGCCACAACCCTTACGGCTTTCCAGCCGAAGTTTCGGAATTGCGCCATCCACGCACTCCGGCCCGATCGTTTCGGTGGGAGGAGGCTCGACGCGCATTCACAAAAGAATGGTGGTAACTCTATGCGACCCCCAAGCCCAGTCCTTCCTGCCAAAAGGTTACATGCAAGAGAAGAGGTTGCAACTTAGCTTGCTACCGCCACGGCGTGGCACGAGCGAGGAGAGCACGGAGCGACCGAGGCCGAAGCCCAGTTCGAGGTCTGCGAGGCCGAGCTCGACTTCCCGCAGACTGAGCAGTGGCAGCGCTTGGCAGAGCGGGCCGAGGTCTTCCTTGCCTCGGCATGCGGATGCCGGAATTTTGCTGTGCTTCTGAGTCTCGCGGAGCTGAGCAAGCAGCTGCTCAGGCCCAGCTCGAGCTTCCCCGCCTCTTCGTCCTATGCACTCCAAGCAGAACATGCAAGGAACGTCTGCCCCAAAACACAGCAGCTGCCTTGAACCCCTCGCGGAGCAACATCTCCACCACCGGGTGCGTCACGCGGCAACTGACCTGAACAGAGGGGAACGGAGAGAGAATAAAAACGAAAAAAAGAAAAGGGAGGGAGCCCCCGGCCTCCCCGGAACGGAGGGCCCTGGCCAGCGCGACGGCACCCTTTCCGATGTCGCAGTCCCCCAGATCCAGCTGGCTCGCTGCGGGGCGGGTGGCTCGGAGGGCCTGCAGGGTTCCCGAGAGCATCTGCCCGGTGGCCCAACCAGTCTGGCTTAGATTCGGTTAGATGTACAGTTTACAGGATCAAGAGAACAAAAGAAGCCCAGAAGCCTGAATACCCCGACACTCTACCGCAAGCAGAGGCTTGGCAGTCCGGCCGAGAACAGAAGCTGTTGCGGCCAGCCTCCAGCAAGGAGAGGGCGCCCTCCTCGCCTTGGGCAAAGCTCGTTCTTCCCTCTGGAACAATAGTTTAATGTTCGTACAGGCAGAACTGTAACTATAGATACGTGCGCGGATAATGTTCGTGTGAACAAGCGGGCAAGACGACTCGAAGCGCAGAATGTTTTGACGAGGGCCCCATGTGCAGGCCACCTGAGGATTCTGAATGTCATTGTCGACAGCGATGCCGCACTACCGAGACGCCCCCTTCCTTACAACAACAAAAGATGCGCTGCGACGTGCAACAGGTCACGGGAGCCGTGCATTGGGCGCAAGCCCATGTAAACCAGCAAAGGCCACAACCCTTGCGGCTTTCGAGTAGAAGCTTCGGAAGCCCCGGAATACATCCGAGAACACAGCATGCCAAGCAGGAAGCTCGGAAGACCTCCGTTCTTGCGCCATCCACGCACTCCGGCCCGATCGTTTCGGTGGGAGGAGGCTCGACGCGCATTCACAAAAGGATGGCGGTAACTCTATGCGACCCCCAAGCCCAGTCCTTCCTGCCAAAAGGTTGCATGCAAGAGGAAAAAAGTTACCACTTAGCCTGCTACCGCCACGGGGTGGCACGAGCGAGCAGAGCACGGAGCGACCGAGGCCAAAGCCCAGTTCGAGGTCTGCGAGGCCGAGCTCGACTTCCCGCAGACGGAGCAGTGGCAGCGCTTGGCAGAGCGGGCCGAGGTCTTCCTTGCCTCGGCATATCTCGGCATGCTGACGCCGGAATTTTGCTGTGCTTCTGAGTCTCGCGGAGCTGAGCAAGCAGCTGCTCAGGCCCAGCTCGAGCTTGCCCGCCTCTTCGTCCTGTGCACTCCAAGCAGAACAGGCAAGGAACGTCTGCCCCAAAACACAGCAGCTGCCTTGAACCCCTCGCGGAGCAACATCTCCACCACCGGGTGTGTCACGCGGCAACTGACCTGAACAGAGGGGAACGGAAGAGAATAAAAACGAAAAAAAGAAAAGGGAGGGAGCCCCCGGCCTCCCCGGAACGGAGGGCCCTGGCCAGTGCGACAGCACCCTTTCCGATGGCGCAGCCACCCAGCTCTAGCTGGCTCGCTGCGGGGCGGGTGGCTCGGAGGGCCTGCAGGGTTCCCGAGAGCATCTGCCCGGTGGCCCAACCAGTCTGGCTTAGATTCGGTTAGATGTACAGTTTACAGGATCAAGAGAACAAAAGAAGCCCAGAAGCCTGAATACCCCGACACTCTACCGCAAGCAGAGGCTTGGCAGTCCGGCCGAGAACAGAAGCTGTTGCGGCCAGCCTCCAGCAAGGAGAGGGCGCCCTCCTCGCCTTGGGCAAAGCTCGTTCTTCCCTCTGGAACAATAGTTTAATGTTCGTACAGGCAGAACTGTAACAATAGATACGTGCGCAGGATAATGTTCGTGTGAACAAGCGGGCAAGACGACTCGAAGCGCAGAATGTTTTGACGAGGGCCCCATGTGCAGGCCACCGGAGGCTCGGAGGAATGTCGATGTCGACAGCGTCGCCGCACTACCGAGACTCCCCCCTCTTTGCAACAACAAAAGATGTGGCAGTTCGCCGGCGACGTGCAACAGGTCACGGGAGCCGTGCATTGGGCGCAAGCCCACGTAAACCAGCAACGCCACGACCCTTGCGGCTTTCGAGCCGAAGTTTCGGAAGCCCCGGAATGCATCCGAGAATACAGCATGCCAAGCAGGAAGCTCGGAAGACCTCCGTTCTTGCGCCGTCCACGCACTCAGGCCCGATCATTTCGGTGGGAGGAGGCTCGACGCGCATTCACAAAAGGATGGCGGCAACTCCCCCAAACGCAGTCAGTCTTAGCTGCTCCAGCTGTGCACTAGTCCTGCCCCGTTGGGCTGAAACATCAAGAAGCGGAACCGAAAGGCAATTCACTGTCAATACCACGCAGTGGCGGTAAATGTCACAGTGGCCCTGCCACCGCAGCTCCAAGGTCTGCTCTGCACGAACGGAGCATCAGTTCAAAGCTTGGGGTACAGACGGAATGCTCTGTTCCAACTCCAGCAAACTTCCCTCGAAGGCAGCCTCCACTCCGACTGCTTCCGAGACCCGGGCCAAGGTCGGACATCTCGACGTTCACAGACAAATCCTCCATCTTCTTGAGCTTTGAGACTGCCGTGGCCAAGGCTCTCGCCCCCACATCGCCTCGGCAAAGATTTTTGGATCGAAGGAGGCAACACTGCGAGAGTCGGGCCGGTAATGAACGGTACAGTGCTCTGCGGATCGTTGGAGCGGGGGATTGAACCGAAAAACCTGTCTCCGACAAGTGCGGGCAAAGCATCGCAGCAGAACACTCTCAGCCCGCGGCCCAGCTTGTTGCTCTTCAGGTTCACACTGAGCTTCTGCATGTTCTCCAGGATGCCGATGGCGCTGGCGAGAGCACCGGCACCCTCCATGCCTCCGGCTTGGCTCTCGTGTTTCGGGGGCCTCTCACACTTGGTCTTCGCGAGTATGTAACTTCCAGTTGAGTTGTCGCAAGTGTTGAAGACAGTGCTTGGTCTACCAAACCTATGCGGCCCAGGCTAGTCACATCTTCTCCAGCCGTGTACCTGTCTGGCTTTGGTTGAGACATCGGACAAGTGTTAACGTCAATACCACTTTGCAAGGCTTAAGTGGACCTCAAACCGTGGCTCCAAAGCAAGATTCCCAGAATGAACGCAGAGAGAGGCTTGTTCTCACTGTGGTCATACTCGGCATGCTCTGTTCCAAAAGGCCTCTCTGCTCCACCAAAGCAGCCTCTACTCCGACCGCTTCCGAGACCCGGGCCCAGGTCGGACATCTCTAGATTCAGGGACATGTCCTGAATCTGCTTGAGGCTGGAGACAGCAGTGGCCAGGGTCTTCGCCCCTGCATCGCCTTGGCGCAGAGTTTTGTATCGGAGGAGGCAACACGGCGAGAGTTGGGCCGGCAGTAAACGGTACAGTGCTCTGTGGATCATCGGATTGGGGGATTGCATCAACCGCCTCCGACTGGTGATCCCGTGGTCACCCTTCGCATGTTAAACTTTGATTCTACCTTGCTTGCCCAACTTGGTCCATCTTGCACACACTTCTCGAATGACACGGCCAATCTGGAGCTTCTCGACTCTCCGCATTTCCCGCCCAATGCTGAAGTCTGATAAGGGCCCCCTCATTTGTGAGTTTGACATTCGACACCTTCTTTCGGGCTTGACACTTCCCTCTACTTAATCGACTTGTTGTGCTCAGGCCACGCTTTCCGGCTAATGGAGTCATTCGCCGCTCCCTTCAACACTTGTGGGCCTGGGATTGCCTCTCTCCACACCTACCCTTTTTTTTCGGGTTGGGGCTGCTAGTTTGCCAATTCCTTCTGCAACTCCCATCAAGTCGTTGGCAGAAAGAGGTCAGTCCGGTCTTCGAGGCATGACAAACTGGGGGGTCTCCCGTCATTGTGCGAGCTGCACCCCTTTCAAGCCCTGTAGCGATGAAGCTCATGAAGGTTTGAAATCAGCTCCCAAGTTCCGCTTGGGGGCGGCACGCAGCTTGTTGTGTGAGAGGTCCATGGCCAGCCACTGCCATTGGGCATCTGCAAACCCGTCACAGAAGGCCTGTCCGCGCAACATGCGGCACGAGTCGGCAAGAGCTCACTGTATGTCACAAGGAGCCTCCAGGGAAGGCTGCTCCTCCATCAGACCGAGGTTGCTAAAGCTCCATCTCTCCTGCGTCAAAAGAAAGGAATTGGCCTTCTTCTCGTTTACAAAAGCATTGGCATTCGCCCACATTCCCACCTGTATGCATGCTACATGCAGGCTACACTAGAAACCTCACACAGCGAAAGGCTCCCTTCTTATCCTTCAACACCCTGTCGAGATCTGCTCTGCCGAGGCTTGAATTGGGAGGACAGCCGACCCAACAGGACTCCTGTCCTGGCCGAAGGACTGCAACCCACGCTCTCAGAAAACGTGTGTCGTGTCCTTGTTGGGAGCACTCTGCATGGCCAGCGCAAAGCGCAAACGGCCCCCGAAAGCCCAAGCCTTTCTCCGTGACCCCTGGAGCCGAATCGACGAAGCCACGAGCCCCAGAACCAGAGCCAAGCCGGGTTTAGGGCCTTCCAGAGCTGTATGATGTCATCGTATCGCTCCGCCCCGATCTCCTGCGGAGAAAACTGGTGCATCGGCAGCATCTGGGATGCAACGATTTATGCCCCGTGCAAGGGTGCCGAACTGCGAGCACTGAGAGGTATTAGGACTAGATAGTTACGTCACTCCGAAGACCCCCAACCCCCTCCAAAGCAGACCAGCTGCAAATCCATGAACCTGCTGGTGCAGCAACGCAGCTCCTTGCTGCGCATGAACGGGAGGGCTTGCTTGAAGAGCTCTTTGTCGAATTCGAAGTCTGCCTTTTCAAGGGCAAGGATCGAGTTCAGGCCGATTGTAGGGCTCATGGGATGGAAACATCTGGATCCATTTAGATACTTGTAGGGCTAAGGCAGCATAAAGTTGCTGATCCAGTTATACAGTGTACTTATGCAACGTGCTTCTGTTGTAGGTGGACGCGAGCCATGCGAGGACGTCGAAAGCAGCTGGCAACGAGGTGACCAAAGACTTTCCGAGAGGGAAGCGACAGCCACCGAGCCAACATCATGGCTATAGCCTCGCTGATGAATGCGAGTAAGCGAGCGGGCAACAACAAATCCAGCTCCACAAGCTGCAGCATGCTGCATTGACCGGCCGTTCCCGAACATCCCTGACCTCGCCAGAAGAAGTCTCGAATTCTTCACGCCGTGAAACCTGCTGTTCGTCGCCTAAAAACTCAGCCGGTGCCTCGGAAATTACCTCGGCGGAACCAAGCGAAAGCTCGACAAAGAGTGCACGGCCAGCGAGAGCGCCCAAACTTGACGAAGCGCGCTCTGCCTCCGATGCCCTTTACAGAACCATTGCTGACTGAACCCTGCGCGTCCAGCTCAAGGCGGTTGCGACGGCATCGAAACCTACCTTCCTTCGCCGCACAGGCATGCCTCCCGCCAGAGGCGCTGCGCCATCAGCTGGTCCCCGGCCCTTGGCGCAGGTTCCTCTCCTCTGGCTTCTAACTTACCCACGGAAAGGGGGGCGTGAAGTGTAGACTGTACCGACATGCCGCCCTGTTCTCTTCGAAACCCTATCGAACCCTTGAAGGTCCCAACCTGTCCCAATCCTGAGTGGGAGACGAAACCAGCGCTCGAAGCCTTCGGCCGAAGTAGGGAGCAACCTGCGCAGGACCCCACCCCATAGGAGCAGACCGTGCCAGGAGCAGTCTCTTTCGCCAGGGTAAAGGGGAGGGGGTCACTCCCCCGTAGTGCATCTCTCTTGCGCTGTCTCGCCCGCTCGCTCTCTCCTTCTCTCTTTCTCTCTCTCTCTCTCTCTCTCTCTCTCTCTCTCTCTTTCTTTCTGCCGGGCTTAGGGGTCCTCTCTCTGTCTCTCTCTCTCTCTCTTTGCTTTGCTCGGGGCTTGGGGTGGGGGCAGGCCTCTCTCTCTCTCTCTCTCTCTCCCTATCTATCTCACAGCAGCACGGTTCGAGCCTGTCATAGCCTGTCATATTTAGCCATTTAGCTGCGCACACTTGCTTGCTCCACTGAAGAGCTTTCACAGGAAGTACCCGTGCCGCATGCCGAAGACGCAGTGCATGGGCATCAGTTCCGCCATTGGTGCTTGATTGTTCGACGTCGTCAGAACCACATGACATGGCGCGCTGACAACACCCTGGGCTGCAACGAACCCGCCTGGCCCCGCGGGGGGCCAGCCGTTTTTTACTGACTTCGGGACAGTTTTCCTGAGCCGGTGTTGGTCGCGACGACTGGGAGAGCTCGTCTCGCTCCTCGGCTCAGCTTGGCCACAGCGAGTGAAGCATTGCTCTTCTGCAGAGCACGGCGGCGTGACACGAGGCGGTTGCAGTGAGCAAGGGAGCACCAAGGTGAGCGATTGAGTACATGAATCAATGAAGCATGCAAGCTATCAAGTGGGCACACAGTCTTCCAGCTTTCTACCAACTCGTAACTGCCTAGGAGCCCTGGAGCCGAAATTCAACTATCAACCCGAAGTTTAAGAGAGAGCTTTCTGAGTGTCCATCAGAGTCGGGTCAAGGGGCCGTCTGAGCTATGCAACTTCCCCAAACTCGGCGTGAAACCCCACATCCTGAACCCCTGCCAACCGAAAGCCAGCGCGGCCTACGTCATGCATAGCCTTCATACGCAATTAAGCAGATTCCGAGACACCCTTTTGCCTTGCACCCATAGTGAAAGCCAAGCTGTGTGATCTTGACAGGCTATGCAGGAAGAGTGAGCAACACTCCACCATATCATTGCGCTCAAGGGCTGAAAAATCGAGCTTCGGGGCGCCTCTGCACGGACCCTGCTGTAGAGCAAGAGGGTGAGCCCAATCTGCAGCACTGCAGAGGAATGGTCTAGGCGATTTCCTCCCGCAGCTGACACTCCCAGCCTGCACTGCGGGAATGGCCAGGCTCAAGACGGTCACGACGAGCGAACCACCCTCGTAGCCTTGGAGCCGCATGACGTGCCTACCCATCGAAGCTGTCAACAAGAACTGTCTGTATGGACAGATTTCAGGAAAGCTTTTGATACAAGGAACGCAAGAAGATCATCGCACAGATTCCCTGTGGGATGTTCTCCATAAGAAGGAGATACCTCGCAGGCAAATGCACCCGAGCATGAAGCGACGGAAAGAGCTGGCCTCTGAATGTCACGACCCGGGCTTCTGCAGAACCATGCAACCTGCAGCCCCCAACGGCTGCTGATGGCGCTCGGCGTGGCCTGGCA